AGCAGCAGGAGTAGTAGTAGTAGTAGTAGTAGTGGTGGTAGTAGTAGTAGTAGTGGTAGTAGTAGTGGTAGTAGTAGTAGCAGGAGTAGTAGTAGTAGTAGTAGTAGTAGTAGTAGTAGTAGTCGTGGTGTTGGTGGTGGTGGTGGTAGTAGTAGTAGTAGTAGTAGTCGTGGTGGTAGTGGTAGTAGTAGTAGTAGTAGTAGTAGTAGTAGTACTTGTAGTTGTTGTAGCACTAGTAAAGGTTAGTAATAGTACACTACAGTAGTAGTCGCAGCCGCAATCGCGGCAGAACGTAGCGGTGGCGGCAGCAGCAGAAGTCACGCAGCACCAGCAGCAGCAGTCGAAGCAGCAACACTACCAGCAACAAAGGCAGCAGGAGCAGCCGCAGCAGCAGCAGTAGCATTAACAGTGGAGGCAGCAGCAGTCGTAGTCGCAGTAGACCGTGTTGCATGACGAGCAGTAGCAGCAGCGGCAGCAGCAGAACAGATTTCGTCAGTTTGATTCTTGCTACTTGACTACTTCTGCTGTTTCTTCGTAGAAGCATCGGGGAAAGAACACCTGACGACCATCCAAACGCATCTACGCCTGCATTAGGTCAACTGGCTTCTCGAAGCACGCTCCTTTGCGCGCACGCTAGAATTGGGTCGTTAAAGCATCTGCTGCATGTGTACCAAAGACGGCCAAGACACCCCGGAGTCTTCATCCGAATGAGAAGCCGCGCAAACTTGCAGCAGAAGAGAGCATCTGCACAGGGGGGTCATGTACTCAAAGCGACAAAGCGTATTCTGGGTCAGGCAGTGACGAAATCGGCGTGAGCAAGCTTCACTCGCTTGATCTGGCCTGCATACGAAGTCAGTGCTCGAGGAAGGATCATCTCGGCAACCTGGCACGTACAGGTTATGCTTTCCTGCCAAGCTGTGTCGCCCGAAAACCTCAGACATTGCCAGGCTTTATCTCAAGTCGACGGCGCACCATTGTCTGAGTAGCTTCTGGGCAGTGCTTCAGAAACCTGACAACGCAATGAATGCACTGGTTGCTGTGCAGGCCAAGTAGAATCTAAGTAGAAGTTGATTCAGGCAATGACCAGAAGGACTTCTCCTGCTCCAGCCGTGCCAGGACCTGCGAGCAGACCATGTCTGTTTCATGCGCATCTTCCCCTGCTACGGTGCTACACGGCAGCCCAGCAGACCCGCCTGCTCGAAGTTCAGCTTCTGCTTCAGCTGCTCCTCCTTGACCTTGTCGTAGGCTTCCTTCTGCCGAGCGAGATTCCGTTGCACAGCCTGCCAGGCTGCATTGACTCAGAAGCGAAACTTCCGAAACGCTCAGCCCCTTTGTCTGGGCCGGTCCGCGCCACACCTTGTACTCACGGCTGTGTGTGTCAACGTTGTACTTCCGATCGAGCTTGGCTTTTGACTCCTGAGTCAGGTCTCTCAGTCGTCTAATTAAGCTGCCAGGGATCTGGTTCTGCAATCTGCTCGCCACAAGCGGTGCCCAAATCTCCACGCCTCCAAGGTCTTCTGACCTGCACGCAGGGCTGTGTGATGCTTACAAGGAACGGATCGGGAAGGTCGAGTCGAGGAAGACTGGTGACGACACTGGGCCTTGCGACATCCTGGTCAGCACTTTCTCGTAGCCCTCGGTGGGAACAAAGATGTCCTGAACATCGTAGCTCTTTTCAAGGCTTATGTGTCGTCGTGTTTGCCATGTCTGTCCGCATGCCATTCCTTGCCATTCCTACGATACGAGCAGTCTCCTGCAAGGACAGGCGCCAGAAAGTCACGTAAAAGTCCATGGAGAGCCCATCCTCCTGCAAAAGAAGTACTCTGATGAACAACGGAATACCCGGGAGCAGCTCCGGTGGCAAGAGGATACGCTACACTCCGACCAGGGCTGTGAACTGCAATCGAAGTCCTGACAAGCCAAGGTCCATCCAATTAAGCTAAGAAATGCAGGCTCACAGTGCAGACTCGCGGCTGGGGAAAATCTGGTCAAGTGAATTCGAAGCGGGGGTGAAGACAACTCTTGAAAACCTCTCAAGATAGGTGCCCATTCAGCCCTGCCGCTGCTATCCCCGAACAGGAGGACCTGGATGCAGCAACTTCCGATTATTAAAGCTCGCCCTCGTAGGAACATATGTTGGTCTTCCGGAACTTCCAAAACAGACATTTCCGATCGGCTCGCCTCAATCGGCTTTGGCAAGCACTTGAACGCTATCTCGGTCCAGGAGGTTGCATTGCATCGCCCAGGTGTCTGCTCGTGTGCTCGTGGGGCTCGTGTGCGGGCAGCTCATTCTGCGCTCTGATCCGCTTGCTCTGTGGCCCTGGCATCCATCAGCAGCTTCTGCAGATCTGTCTCCTCCGCGGTTGCCACCATCGTGGTCCTGCGATGACCAGAGTAGCTGCACCACAGCTGCTCAGCTGGACGGATCACAACCGACCTGCCCTTGCTCACCTCTTGACTTCTTGCATGGTTTCTGGAAGATGCTACTAGGCTTCTGGCTTTCCGCCCTCTTCGGTTTTCTTCTTGCCGCGGGCGAAGGGGGGCAACCTCAGCAGACGCCAGCATCGAATAGATGAAGCATTCCGGAACAAGTATGACGTGACTGACGTGAGGCTGCAGCCGCCTCCACAGACATACTCTGCCGAACTTCCGCATTCAGTCCCCGACCCAGGCCGGAGGGCCGCGTAGGCTGCGTTGGGTTCGAGAACGCCGAAGAGCTGCGACAATGCAGCTTTGAAAGTGTTGCGACTGCTACTCCTCCATCTGTCTTTGTGGGTTCAAGCAGACTGTCGATCCAAAGCTGCATGATACTGCATACTGCGGGAGCATGACTTGCGCCGTCAAGCTGAGCGAGACCCTTCCACCGGCAGGCCTGCTGCACGCTCGGCATCAGCTTCACGTATTTTTCTCGCGCAGATGCCTTGGGTCATGCGACGAGCCACATGCAGACCATGGATAGCTTAAACCAGGCCTGAGACAAGAAGTCCACGAGGCTCAGGAAGCATTCCATGTTCCTGGCATGGTGGGAGACAGTTCTGAAAAATTTTCGAGGTGCTGCTTGGAAAGCTTCCGCTGATGCCACTAGCGATTCATGTTGAGGGTCGGGGCTCCACAGACAGTGCCGGCCCCACCCGTCGAGGAGCTTGCAAAGGATCTTCAGCGACCCTTCATCACTGTGGACCTGCTATGGTAAACAAGAGCACCTTCTTCCGTTTAGCCCCCTTGTGCAGGCTTACATTCTTGTGGGATCGGCCTCTGAAAAGCCTTCAGACATGAAGTAAAGCCGCTGGCGACTGAGACAGTCCCACCTCGAGAGAGACCAGGGACTAGGTGTCTTGTTGATGGAAACACTTCACGGTCTCTCGGCTCACAGATTTGAAAGTTCTCGGCCAAAGGCAGGGCCGGTGCCAAACCGAGCTCTACAAGCGTGTCCAGCAGCGCTTTCTTCGTTTTTTCCTGGCGGGTCCACATCTTATTCACTCTGTCCTTTGCTGTCCGACTGCCAAACTCGACAAACACCGGCACCGGGGACACGAGGCGAAAAGCAATCTTGTCACAGTCACAAGCACCCTCCTTCCGCTGAGGATCTGGGCGTGAACCAATCGAGACGGACCTCCCAGGCTGACAGCGCAAGGCTCTGAAACTGTCAGCCTGCGTGTTTCCGTAAACCTCGCATCTGAAGCTCAAATCCGGGCAAGCATGCGGAGCTTGAAAGAGTGCATTGAATTAGGCAGCGTGGTCATGAACGAAGAGACCAAGTCCACGGCTCAAGCCGAAGCCGAGGCCCTCCGGCCAAGCAGGTGATCTGCTCCATGGTGAAACTGCGCCAAGCGACAGGTGACAACATGCACCGTGGGCTACTGGCAGTGTAGGAGTGCAGCTATGGATTGAGGTGCCAACTCCTTCACGACGATGAGGCCACCCATGTGCCTCTGCTTCGGTCATTGTTTCGCGATGCACTTCGGTGCGTCTAGATTCAGCGTGAATCGCTGTTCACACATACACCGGCATTCGAGGCGTGAGCAACATGTGCCAAAGAAGTCAAGCAAATTATCTAGGCCAGCACGCTCACAGCGTTTTCGTAGCGCCAGGGAGACACCCGATTGCCAGATCGACTTCTCCGACAGCTAGCACTGCCCATTGAACGACACCCGCGGTGTGTGGACAGCACGGCTAGCTGTAGTTGTAGACAATTGTATAATCAGCTTTGTCAACCTAGCAGTGCGCATGCCTAAAAGTGCTGCCAGATGATGCAAGAACAGAGATCGGTGTCAACAAACTCTGCAAGGCACATGCAGAAAGGCACGCTTTGCCATGTCCCTCTGAGAGTCAGACTCCATGAGCTTCTCGAGGACTACTCGGATGAGAGACTCACCCTGCAGCGCAAGGGATGTAATGCTGCACTAAAAGGGACATCCTGGCTGCGAGAGGAACGCTAACGAAGCCCGGCCGAATCCAACGTTAGGAAAACAGCCACCCATCACCCAATATCAGTTACCGGGAGCCTCTCGGAATTGAGCCGGGTCTTAGTTCCTGCTGCCCTCGCATTACAACCTAAGACCTACGGCCTCGGGCCCAGATTTGCACAGAGCGAGTAGTAGCTTCAGGCTGGCCCAATTCTCAATGGCAACTGTTTTTCTAGAGCTCACTACAGGAAAGGTGCCCTCTCTTCCTCTTGCGGCCAAGGCATTCAGAAACCGAAAGCTGTGCTTATATTAAGGCTGGTGTGGATGTACGAAGACATGGTTGCCCTGCCTTGAACTTCTTTGCAGAGTGTCTTCCTGTAGGGGAGTCGCTCTCATCTGAAGGAACTCCGACGTGCCTTCTAAGGGCCTTCTTTCCCCTTCCCCCCGTCGGATCAGGCCCCGGGGTCAACCATGGGGCTTCCCTGGATCACATGCCTGTGGACTCGGGCACGTCATGCGTCATGCGCTTCCTTGGCAGCAAATCCACGAGAACTGCTCGAGACCGAGGCTGCTCTTAAGTAAGCGAGCGCAACTTATGCTTGCGCCAAGGTCAACACAGGTCAACAACCAATTCGTGCACTGGAAAGACGAGATTAGCGGAGCATGGCCGATTCGCACTTGTAAAGATGCCGAACATCATTGAACATCCAAGCAACCCTCACAACCCGAAAACCCTAAAGTTTGAAAGCCTGAACCCTGAAACCCAAAACCCCAAAACCCCCAAGCCCTAAAAGCTCTGAACCCTAAGACCCTCAACACCCGGCTCTGGTTGCCTGGTAATACGGCCACGGTTCCGAAAGCATGACCCTCCCCCACCTCAAATGCTTAAAGTCAAACCCTTCTCCTTGGAAACCCGAGAACCCAGAAAGGCCTTGCATAAACTGTTCACACCCCAAACCAATCTCTGAGAACACAAGCCTGCGGAAGAACATTTGCCCATAGATTGTTGTTCAATCGCAGGTGGGCTAGAATCGCTGGTGCTCGAATCGCGCGTGCTTGACTCGGGCTTGCGGCGTGCTCGTATCGAATCGCACGTTCTCGAATTGCTTGAGGCACTCTGCTCGAAACGCAGTGCTTGTATCGAGACAGTGCTCGACTCGCTTTCACGCTGTGCGAAGTTGGCACTGCAAGCTTACACACTTCCAGGACACTTCCCATTGAAGATGGGAAACCAGGCTTGAAGAACTTGAAAGATGGGAGCAAGTAAGACGAATGCATTGAGCAGCTACCGATATAGCACAGGCGATAAAGACAGTCTTAGCCTCCGGCGCAAGCACGAGAAGCATTGCAACCAAGTTGGTGTGCGGGTGTCTCTTGTAGAAGCGACCTTGGATCACAATGGCAGGTTCTGAACGCGAACTGCAACCGATTTTCAGGGCCGAAGCATTTGAGAAGTATTAGTGGTAACCACACCACTGCATTCGGCATGTCTGAAACCGGAGACAGGTTGCCGATGAAGTCCGAAAAGTTGCTGAGCCAGGGTGAAATAAGTCCGTCAGCCTGGCTTCTCAATGACATGGTCGAACAAGATCGGAATCAGTAACTCGCGAAATCTGGCTAGCGCACCGGGGAGAAGAACACCTTCGTCTCCGTAGCGGGACCTCGGGGCTCTTTTATGCGGAAGCGGTGGTTCTGCTGCGGCAAGAAATTCATAGAGATTCCATAGCCAATCTTGCACAAGGTCATTGCCTGCTTGCACTCATCTGGTAACAAATGGCAACAGCAGTCTACTCCAGCCGTGTGACGTTCGCAGTTCCGCGACAGGACGTAGCCTGGCCGGGTCAAGCGAATCGGGGTCTGGTTGAGCGTCTTCCGAGCACTTCGGCTTGGACTAAAAGAGCAGCCACGCAAGTCCTCGAGGTTTGCAGTAGATTTCGAAGTTCATCGGGGCCTTGCCCCCCACAGCTACCGGAGAATCTGGGATTTGAAGGGCAAAGGCCCGCAGAGTGGGGTGCTGGAGACGACTTTCGCGACATTCGTCGTCGACGGCAGCAACGCGTCCCAGTGCCAAGATGTGCTGAAGGCTCGGTGGTTGACAACGACACCTTTCGTAGCAGCCTGCTTGTTTCCCTTGTTGCCCGGTACACATGTGAACGATGTTCATCATGGCCTCCTTTGGGTGACGCAGACAATACGCAGCGAGTGGTGTCACATATTTCGCGGTCGCACAGAGAAGAGGACGTGAGGATGCAAAGCAACGTACCCCTCCATTGTAGCCTGCATGTTGTCCGGAATGCTGCAAAGATCGCAGGAAATGATCTTCAGAAGCTCTGGTGCGGAACTCTGGACGAACAAGTCCCTCACTCACGTCAGGCCAGTTAGGGCTTGGTGCCAAAGCCAGGTGCACCAGGGATGGCAGCTGCGCCGCTATGCAAAAGCGCAAGCTCCACCAACGACGTCCGTCATCATCTCGGAGCAGCGGGACGTCAGGTCCACGTACCTGCCGTGGTCGCAACCTGGCTTTCTTCCTGCTTCTGCCAATCACTCTTGCGAGAAGCACCCTTGTTGTTCAATTTGTTCTTTGTGCCTTTCACAACTTATTTGCTGCGCATATCATCGCCCAATGAGGCACGGCTGGATCATGTTGACGTTGAAGCCGATCTCAATGTCCTGCTGACAAGCTTGCAGCTAGGCGCTTCCGAACTTAGGACACTGCATGGTCACGCAAAGGAAGGGCAAGTCTGATCCGATCTGCCGTCAACTCCATACTGGATGGCTCGTCACAATACAACGAAAGGTGCCAGCCAATAGCTACCAGTATGGGCACGGAGCTATCACATGATGTGGAGCCATGTGGAGCCTGCAAGCCAGAATCATCCCTCGGAAGCCCTCCGTGTCAACCGGACTGTGACCCCTGTCCATTCTCTGTCAGAGTGGCCGGATTTGACTAGTGCATTTCCGAAAAGTGGAATTGATTTCCTTACTTATGCAGCGTCGAATCGTGGTTTCCACAATGCACCCCTTGCTGAATCTGAATGCGTACACTCTCGTGAATAACCTGCTAGCTGCTTGTCAGCATCGATGAGGGCAGGGCTCTAGGAGTCTCTCACATCCCTCGTGGCATTGGAAAGTATCCTTCAACATCACCTCCACGATGGGGATTGGGTTTGTCTGGCCTCAAAGCTTGAAGTTTGCAAGACATGCAAGCGACTGGGATTTGCATGGCACGACTGGGATTTGCACGGCAACAGGTCCGAAGGCAAGCTGCACTTGGGTGGGGGATGGACATGTGTATTTGTACACCAATGGGACGGTCACTAATGCACAAAGACAGAGCAAGAGTGAGAGAGAAAGATGTGTGTGAATGAACGCATGTATGCATGAATGTATGCATGAATGTAAGTGTATATACATACGTACATACATACATCCATCCATCCATCCATCCATGCATGCATGCATGCATGCATACATACATACATACATAATCGTACATACATACATATGTGTAGATATACGCATCTGTATCTGTATCTGTATACATGACATATGTATACATACACATATACACACATACACCCATACACACTCACTCCCGCGCACACACGCACCTACATTCACACATGAACACTTACATGCATGCATACACGCATACGTGCATACATGCATACATACATTGAGGTACAGTACATAAACTGTGTAGGTTACTTGCATACATGCATACATACATGACATTGACATACAGTAGATACATTACGTACACTACTTACCTGCATGCATGTATACATCAACGTACAGCAGGAGCTACTGGCGAGGAACCGCCGGCATTGCTCTTACGATTGACGGAAAGTAAAAGAGAATCAATCAAAAGAGCTTAAATTGAATAAGCTCTACAAGACAAGACCAAGGTAGATAGATTTAGGGTATGATTCAAAGTGTGCAATTCTCAGCAAGGAGGATTCTGCGAAATCAACTCATTTCGAGCTGTGATGCTCTTCTGAGCACCTTGCAGAGTTGGCAGAACACTGGGTGAGGCCTCCAGACTGGCACTTCTAATCACGAATGCCGACACATCCCCGCGTCCCGGCCTGTAGGCATTGGGATCTTCTCGATCTCGCTCACTTGTCTTGTCGCTGGAAACGACCCGCTTCAGGATCTGGAAGCCGAGGAAGAGATTGAGATTAATGCAACCAGACCAAAGAGCTTTGGCGTGACGCGTTTACCAAGAACTGCAAGCTCTTTCACAAGTCAGAATCGCTCCACACGCCTTCTTGGCTTCAAACTTCGCTTCTTCGTAGCTGTACTTGAGCATGAACTGACTATACCTTCGCGAAGCAGAAGCACGTGCGCAATGCCTGCTTCACCTGCCGCCTATGGTTTTCCCTATCGACACCTCCATGCATGGCCGCGTGTGCTCCTGAAAAATCTTAAAAAACTGCACGACCCTCAGACTTGTCAAGCGTGCAGGCCTCGTCTCCCAACAGCTATAGATCATGTATCGCTGGAAGACTGTAAGCTGCTTCAGCACATTCCACCTGTTCCCAGCACCAAACTCTCGAGTCGCTCGCTTCAAGTCTACACTGTGACATCAACCTCCAACAGGGGCATCCCTTCAGTAAGTGTCCGACGCTACGCTGCTTAAGAAGGGGTTCGGCTTGGCCTCAAAAGCATGAACGGATCAGTGGACTTGCCAACATGTTCGTATGCCTGTTCTAAACTTACAGGGCGCAATTCTCTTACTTTCTCGCTGAGTGTTTGGCTATGGAAATGGCTGGCAGCAGGTGCTTGTAGATGATGGCCACAAGCCTGAGAACTTGCATGGGCGCCTGCTAGCAAAAATGCAGACGCTGTAAGAGCTTGCTGGACCATCTTCTAAGCCTGCTTAGCATTACAACTGCGTACTCACCCATTCTCGCCGACAAGTGGCTTGTCGTCCAGGGTGCGATTGGAAGGCGCTGCGCCTTGGGGCTCCACCACACTTCCCGGGTTTGCACTTACATCCCTTGCCAAGCGCGCAACTATTCGCAGATGCCGCAGCCATGGCGGTGTTGCTGCCTTCCGGAATCTCCCTGACAAGGCAGGGTGGCTTGAGCTTCGGTGTGCGTCGGCCAAAAGATGTGTCGTAACTGGGTCACTGATGGCTAGGCTGCCAGCTTGAGCGACAAGGCAATGACCTGCAAGGGCAGTTCCAGAAAAGCGCCTCCCTTTGCCCCATGGTTCATGGCACTGCTCACTCCTGCAAGTTAGTTCATGGAACCCCACATGTGACACAACTAGGCAAATCAGTGTGTGCTCATGAAAGCAGGGTCTTTGCACCCCCACCCAGACACCGGCCCATGCGCCTGCCACATGCAAGTTAGCAAGGCATTGTCCTTAGGTTGCCCGAGCTGGCACGTTACAGTATATAGCACGACAAGAGGAGGGCAAATCGGCCGAGCCACTGTGTGCATGTAGTACTCCAAGTGATCAAGCACCTGCGGGGCAGATGCCAACTCAATGGTGCGGCAGGGCGAGCGGGTCGGTAAGAGTTGAGTCGCAGGCTGAAGTAGCTTATGTTGCACACAGGTCACAGGAAGCAGTACCGCCACCCCCCTCTAGTATTAACAGTCCCGACTCCCTGACTGACTTTGGCTGCAGACCCAAAACGATCTAAGCCATGCTAGAGCTTTCCCCGACAACCCCTTTTGCACATCCATCCTAGCCGATGGTGCCCATCCGGCCTGCTTGCAGGCTGGAAGGAAGTCCTGCAGGTCAACGGCCTGCATCATATCGCAGGAATCGGAACTGTCATTACGAAGCGTTCAGTTCAGGCACTGCGGCCCGCCAGCATTTTGCAGATTTGGGGCCTGCCGGAGGTGCCCTGGAACGGGGCCACCACCTTCCGCATCAACTGTTCAGAGCTTTTCCCTGCAACACATTCTCAGAGTACGGCCGCGCGTCAGAGCTGAAGCCAGCGGCCCATGAGTCGTTAACATATGGGGGCCGATATGAGCAGAGCATAAACTGCAGATCTGCAGCGAGCCTGCCGGCAGCATGGCCACACCCCACGCAAACCGTCGGATGTCCCTGAGACGGAAGATGTAACTGTAGGGACTCTAGGGCGGATAAAATCGGATGAAGGCAGAAGGAGTCCTACTTCGCAAGCCTTTCGGTCCGTACCTGCAAGACCTGATACTAGCATCCCATCAGGCTGGGTACCGGGCTTGTTGTAGCGAGGTATACCTTTCGGCGAAGCGGTGTTCCGAAGCGGCTCAAGCTACAGCTGCCGTTGAGTCACAGCCGACCGGTTGGATAGCTGCTTGCTGCACAAAACACAGATTGGCGGCCAGCCTTGCTGCGACTTCGGAAGCAAAGGTTCGATGATCCACCTCTCAACTCGACTCAAAATGCGAAGCTTCCATAAAGCTCGCGTGCTTAATCCTACGAAGTCCTGGCACGATGCATTCAGCGAGACGGGAGCCGGACTCGAAATACTATTGAATTTACTATTGGCCCAGACATCTGAACAGGGGAAACACATACTCCGGAACCTGCAGGACATTTTGCTAAAAAAAGGCCGGGAGCCAAGCTTCAGCAGGTCACACCTTTGCGCAGTGGCCAGTGGTTGGGCTCTGTTGTCGTTGCTTGTCAGGTCAGGTCGTTGCAGAGGCAAACAATTCGGCTACTTCGCAGTCTCGCAGAAATGCACCGAGAGCATGCCGACGATGCAAGCCAAGCGCTGTGCAAACGCCAGAAGTGGCATCGTCCTAATGCCAATGTAGCTAAGAACCGCAGCACCTCATTTCTCCTAACAAGGGGCAAAAGGCCATCACCGAAACTGAACAGGGCAGCACAGAAACAGTTAACTTTAAGCCAGTGGCAGAGCTTGCCGAATGTAGTGGTTCATGCATGGGCGACAGATCCTGCCGCTACAGGGGCTGCATGTTAGTTGAATGAAATGACGACAGTAGGTGGCAAGAGGACATGCAGCTGCTATTGCACCATGTCACCGCGGTTGCCCCACCCTTGAATCATCGTTGCAAACAGCCTGCGGAGCTGCGTCAGCATCACGCAGGCGTTGCACCAGTCCTTAGGCAACCGCTCGACCTACTCCTGAGACTGTCAGGTAGTATGAAGACGGACATCGAATTTTTTGAGTGCTTCCATGTGCTTCCCCAATGGAGCTCATCACTCTAGGGCCTCCACATTAATGCTTATCATCGCCTCCACCAGCCGGATCTTCTGATTCAGCATGAGGTTGAAGTTCTGGCTCGCGAGACGTTGATGTTTTTCTTGAAAGCACACGAAAACCAACACTGCATGAATTGCTTTTGTAGAACCTGCAAGCGCCCCAAGCACAAATGAAAACATCGAAGGACACCGCTAGCATCAAGCTTTTGCCCACAAAGGCCTTTGCACAGCCATTGAAGTAGCGTTTATCCTGACAAGAAATCCACAGGAATCAAAGTCGCTTTTTGTGACCCAACTTGGCCAAACCACTGGCATCCCATCAACCGCTGCATGTCACTTTGAGGTGCCAGCAACGCACAACATACGGAGCACTCCGACCGACGTTGATCCAAAACTGTACTTTTACACGATGCACTCCTTTTCCTCGTGTGGTATAAGCGCTGTATCACGCCGTTCGGCGACGAAACAGGCTGGAACGGCTAGCCGGTGCCGGGGCGCATTCTGCACCCGGCCCGCTGTCGTTTGCCATCCGCCGAAAAGGCAGCATTTGGGTGGTGCGTGTGGGCGAGAAGCTAACGTCGTTCCAGCCAGAGTGCTGGCCGTAGCAGCTCCAAGCAGACCAAGACCTGGGTGGGCGCTGGCTTGTCCGGCATGGAGTAGGAAGCCCGAAGCCACGACGAACGCGCCGCCAGCCAAGCTGTGGATTCCTCGCCAAGGTCGTCCATGAGCTCCCGTATCTCGGCTATGACCTCCCGCCATATCCTGATCAGGTCGTGTCTCCAAAGCCGTCGTATGACGAGGAGCCGTTCCCACGCCGGCTCCAGCGGCGGCTCCATGGCCACAGGATGCTTGATAGATGCTGATGCCGTCCAGTGTTGAGACAGTCTATCTGCGGCTTCGGTGGGGCGGGGCCTGGGGCCGGGCCGCGTGCCCGTTGCTGTGGCGGTGAGCACCAGAAGAGCCAGTATATACAGTAGCCGGCATGCGAAGCTCCAGCGCCTGCCGTTCCCCAGTAGCCTGCGCTGGCTGTTTTCGCCGTGACGTTCTTGAGGAAGTGGTGCAACTACTCTTTCGCCGCCGTCTGCCCCTCTCGTCGGCTGGTGCGGTAAGCGAAGACCATGGGTCGAAGCCGAGTGCTTTGGACGCCGCTGCGCGTCTGCTGGTGTGATCTCGACATTCTCCACCAGGATTCCCATGCGCCGCGGGTGATCATGCGAAGCTCTCCGATGAACTGCGCCGTCATGTTGAACGGGTATCCCCTGTTGCCATGTCGCCCCTCTCGGTCTCCAATCCTTGAGAAGTCTCGGCACGGCGGCACCGTCCATGAAGATGACCATGCACTTGGCGTCGGGGTCGATCTCCTTCGACCTGCTTCGGCGTGTCCTCGGTGAAGTCGCCGCAGTGGTGGATGCCCGGGATGTTGAAGTCGGCGACCTGGATTGCCGGCCGGTCGACCTCCCGATGGCCTTGGGCTCGCCCGATCAGATCCCATGTTATCCGGGATGCGGCCTGTGAGCTGACTTTCGTCGGTGGTGGGTCGGGTACCTCGCCGTCGGTGTAATCTGGCGCCGAGGCCCCGGGGCTGTCGCGGCCCTTGCCGCTTGCCGTCGGTGGTTTCATGGGTGTCGGCGTGGAAGAGGGGGCATCGAGGAAGACCGAGCCCGACACACCTTCATCCGTCCTCGTCGAGGGTGACGGCGCATTCCACTGCACCTGGCCCGCCCAAGTAGGCTGCAACCGGCGGTGGTGGCGGCGCTCCACTCACCTCAGCCGCCGCTGCCGCCCTGGCTGGGAACAGGCCATTCATGTGAGTCGTCATCTCGGCGGGTGTTGGCGTCGTCATGGGGGATGCATAGTGAGCACCGCCACGAACTCCATGATCGCCGTGCGGTCCTCCATGTTCATCTCCGCCGCCAGCGCCGCCCACCTCACGGATGCCCTCAACGGCGATGAAGTGGGATCTGGCATCGGCTCCGAGGGATGCTGCGGCGGTGCCTTGCGATGCGAGGGCCCTCACTGGAACGGCGTTGGAACCGTCGTTGCCACATGCAGACATAGAAAACCTAATGTCGTTCAGAGTGCTGGCGGCGTTCGCAGTAACCGTATGATACTGCGCACACACGTGTGCTACACAACAATACTACATGAGCCAGGCCTCGCTTCGAGCCTTTACTCTAGCGGTTTGGCTTCGTAGGGTTGCTGTGCGGAACTACCCCTCAGAAGAACCCATTCCGAGACTGTAGAGAGAAGCGAGACGACTGAATGTGTCCTACACAGTTGCGAAGACAGAACCGGGTGGCGATGGCAAACCCTGCTCTTGCAATGGACAGACCCAGGAGTGGCCGCAAAGAGAAGTGCACTAACCGCAACCCGGTGCCCTCCCTAGATCTGACCGAAAAACTCTGCCTTTCTATCCCTCTTCCGTGTTCACGATCGCGAAGTGGCGAGGCATGTGCAGACTGCTCTGACTGTCCCGAGCAAGGTTTTGCTTTCCGCTGAGATCCACGATGCTCACGGTCTTCAGCTTGGCCTGTAGCAGGATTTCGGGCCCGACAGTCGCACGAGTTTTGCCTGACCCGGCCTCGTATCTGAAGTTCAGGTGAGACCACGCCCTAGACAACGGTAAGTGCATGCATAGCTCTGAGCACACTTTTCGATGAAACTTCACTTGCACACGTGGCATTAACCAAACACTTCAAAGAGCCAATGCTTTTGAAATTGCTGAGCACGCGGACTCCTGGATCTTCTTTTCGCTTGGCTCCAAGTAGGACCACACCATCTGACAAAAGGGGCACACAGGCGCGGGAGCCGCAAGTCTCCGACCCTGGACACTATTTAAAAGAATTATGCAAAGGCCTACTACATTCTACT